CCAGTTACTATTCATCCACTTCATGTCTGCTTCCAGTTCACAACGCAGTGTTTTCACTTACCTTTCTCTTTACCTTTTCCCTTCAGGATTATAAGTTAACGCGTTTTTCAGTTGTCCTCCATGCATGACTTTGCAATGTAGTCCATCGTATGAATTCTGGATGATGTTGACGATGTTCTAAGGTACTCCACTGTGTTGAAGAAGATTCTCCCATACACAATGTATAATGCATTCTCATAATCGAGGAAGTTGATGTATAGTGACGAGTTCCATTCAGTTGACTGCTCAATGAAGATCCGTAGTGTCCAGCTCGTTGATCTCGAAGTTTGGCGTCTACGGAACCTTTCACCCGGCTTAAGAGCACTCTGTTGTAGGCATTTCGCGGTAATGATATTAGCGTGATCTCTCTGTAGTTCTCACACTTACTAAGATCTACTTTTTCTAGTATCATGAAGAGACATCTTCCACACCAGTTTGTCGGCACCCTTTCTCTCTTCATAGTCGTCCTGACTGCATATTTGCAGTCACCTGAGTGTCTAATTTCAGTGCCTCATACAAGATGTTGTCAGGTTCTACTGCTTTTCCACTCCTGATCAGTTTGATGACTATTCTGATTTCTTTGATTGTTCGTGGAGTTATACCTTTACGAAGGTCTGTGTGTGCTGTTTCGATGTCCAGTAAATTCAATGGAGCTGGTCTATTCAAGATCACCTCACAGTATTCTACCCATCTATTCCACAATTTTTAGATCTCAGTGATTAACTCGCCTTCCTTGTTCCTGAATAGTCGACCTTGTTTTCGCTGTATTAAAACTTTGTAATGTTGTTTCTATAGTTGTTCAGTGCTTCTTTAGTCTCAGTTTCATCTTCGCCTTAACGAGGTGGTCATATGGAGCTATGTTATTTTCTCTCTCCTCATATTTTCCATTAGTCTTATAGATATATTGTTGACAGAGTTACGACCGACTTGGTTTTTTGTAGTGTGATCCAATGAGACCCGTGCAGCTTTGCATGTGTACAGTTGTGTGAGATTACAGTGTTTCTCACACATATTTTGTTGAAGGCACATAAATTTGCAGATCTCTCACTGTTTTCGTTCTTTTCTCTCAGTCCATGTTGTCTCTTGATATTTTCATACCTGGTGATGTTCATTCCGACCGTGTTGTTTTGATCTGCCATCTGGATTATCAGGTTCTTTCCTGAGGACTTTCTTCAAGTCGATTGCGGCCATCCATAAAACCAGTCATTGTCTTCCTTTACATTTTAAATGGTGGTCGAGTAACACTGGATGACATCCATTTAAATCTTCTCCTTCTTTGTTGTGAAGAGTGTTCTGATGATCGTGATCCCATGACATCTCCATCTTATAAACGCTTATCCTGATATTTTGTATATCATCAGTGCAACATCTCATGTGTGCGAAGCATTTGAATCGAGCATCACAGTACCACCTCCAAAAGTAATATTTTCTATCTACCTTAGGCTTGATGAGTTTCTCATATCCCTGGAATCGTCAAGTTGTATCTTCACATTTCCTCAGCCATTTGAATGGTCGTTATAGCTCCCATATTGTCTTGACATTCAATGAGGTTTTATTCATTGTTGTTCTGTTTGTTTGAAGAAGCAGTGGCCTCCTGACTTTCGAAGATCTCGACTTTACCGTGGTGTGTCATAATTCTTCTAAATAAATATACTTTAACTTACAGTTCAGAGTTTTAACGATTCAAATTGCTTTTCTGGCTGAAGCTTTTTGGCCAGTTTTTTCTTCTGGATAATTTCGCTGATTTCTTGCCTTACTCTTCTTTAAACAAACGGTAGGTACCCCAAAAGCGCTACAGGCGACATGATCCACTTACAGATGGTCGAGAGTACGACATGTAGGAAGGCTTTTCAGTGTATGTTAAAATACTAATCATCGAAGACAGTATTGTAACCCGAAACAGGCAGTGGGCAGTACAACAGGAAAACTTGCATTTGAAAAAGGAATAAGTCTGCAAATATGCTCAAAAGTACATGTGCACAAGCGTATAATCACAGAGGCATTAGTATAAAAGGAGTACGTGCTGACGGTAACAATTTTCTGTGAGAAGAATATAGTCATCAGGAAGACCAAAACAACTGAACAGTCGCATGCTATATAAGTTATTCAGTTCTATCTGTGTTGTATCATATGCTACACAGGACCTTCCAACGGTCTGATTCTTATGAAATTTAAGATACAACTGTATTCGCTCAAATCAGCATGTGATAAAATGTCCACTCGTGACTTATGTTAACTAGATTGATTACTCGGTATGATAGGCGTTTTTGGATTAGTGAGCTTCATCACTAACGTTTTGCCTGAACACAAAAACACCAATCACTTGCAGAGGAGATGACAAAGGTAAATTTTTTGAATTTCTAATTGTCAATAAACATTTTCTTACAGACATAATTAACTTATCAGATGAAAAGCTGGCGCGTTCCCATGTAGCTGCGTCTAAAATCCAGGATGACCAGAAAAATAAAAGTACTAAGTTTGGGCTCCGTGATCCCCTAACTTCAAAAGTAATAAAATAATCGTGCACCATGCGCATTCCTCCTATCCAACAGTGATAAACCAGCAAAATCGATTAGCAATATTAAAATAGCTGACCTATGATGTTATCAGGAATACTATTCCAGCACTCGAAAAATGAGTAAGAATGAGGCACACAAGCAGACGAACGATCGAATGAACTAAATGGAGTGTTCTCAGTGATTCAGTCTTCAGTCTTCAGTAATAAGGATAAGAGGTCTAGTGATCTATTTTAATCCTTGCAGTTTGTTACACTGTGTAGGTCCAATCTCGTCTTGAATATGTCAACAGAAGGTGCTGATATTACGTGTTCTGGTAGAGAATTCCAGTAATTAACTACTCGGTGCGAGAAACGAAACTCCAGACGTAGACGATTTGATCTCGGTTTTTGGACTTTCTTTGAATGTCCTCTCAAATGACCAGCCCTAGACGGGAGGAAAATATAGGACATATTAGTACCAAGGTCATCGTTCAGGATATGATATGCCAATATTATTCGCCGGTAAGATAACGGAAATAAGTTGAGGTGTCTCGGTCTGTATTCATAAGATAGGCTAGATAGGTCTTTTACCATTTTTGTCCCGTGGCGTTGGACTCGTTCTAACATATCCGCCTCATATTTGAAACAAGGACTCGCTGCTTGAATCCCATATTCCAAATGGGGCAGTACGAAAGTTGGGTATAATAATCTAAACATTACCCCATCCAGATACCGGGAAGATCTACGAATAGACCATAATACCCTATAGCTTTTTGCAGCAGCAGCCTTACAGTGACTGGTTGTTTTGAGATCAATACTTAGCATGACTCCTAAATCTTTATAGTTTCTTACTTTAGGCAACACTAGTCCACATATTGTGTAGTGATACGAATCATCGTAGTTATTTAATTGCATCACAACACTTTTATCACGGTTTACTTCTGGTGAACACCCATTAATCCATTCCACTAATGAGTTAAGATCTTCCTGTAAAATTATTCTGTCTGACATACTATATATGGGTCTCCAAATCTTAATGTCATCGGCGAATAGTAGGACGGATGACTTAGCAATAGCTGGTAATTCATTTATATAAAGTAAAAAGAGAAGAGGACCTAAAATCGTGCCTTGTGGGACACCACTTTTTACTGGTTCCCACGATGAGAGAGCACCATTTACTCTTACCCTTTATCTCCTTTCATGAAGAAAGTCACTTATCCAGTCTATGGCTGCATAATGAATTCCAAAACTTTCTAGTTTTAATTTAAGACCAGAATGGGAAACCTTATCAAAGTCTTTACTTAGATCTATGAAAATGATATCTACAGGAATATTACGATCTTTTGCCTCAGCCCAATCTTCTCTTGCAATGAGAAGATTTGTCAAACATGATAGACCTTTTCGAAAACCATGTTGTTCCTTTGACAAAAGATTATGTCTTTCCACGTAGTTTATAACAGCCATCCTAATATTTTTTCCATTAGTTTTACAACTGCACTAGTTAAGCTGACGGGTTGATAGTTACCAACTAAATCCCTATTCCCAGCCTTATACACTGGACTGCGCAATCTGCGCAATCTGGACTGCCGCTTCCGCTTTTTCGGTATCATTTCTTGCCAAATTTAACGGATTTTCTGATATCAAAAGTGATGGTATTCCATCACTTCTCTGAGTTCGCCTCTTTGTATACGAGAATAACCGTTTTGGACTATGCTTGCAATCCCTAACCAATTGTTTTTCGTATGACCGTCTAATTCATGGTGCATACAATCAAACCAAATATACGGAACTTAAAAATCAACCACAGCATAACACGGATATACTACTAGAGTCACTTATTTTCTATTCCGTATTTTTGGTTCCCATGAAGGACTGTAGAAAAATTAATTGAGAAGTTGCTGGATGTTCTGGATGAGCGTGACAGTGCTGGAACAAAACTTTGTTCTATTTTGTGATTAGCATTCAGAAGGCAGTGGTATTAGGTATGTTACAATCTTTTGTTCTTATTAGAAGGTTTTTAAATCTGTTTCCTGAAAAATCGTACCATGAAGAATAGTCCGGGGCAGCGATACAACCCAGACTTACTCAATCCTTTCAATTTTTTGACTGTTTTAAATCTGAAGGACACTCATCGTCCTTGAGACTGTTAAGTGTTAGATATTTTCTATCTCATGGTTGCTTCTCACTCACGTCTGGATCGCTCACCATTGTTGATTGTACATAGTACTCAATGTAAGTACATACTGTGAGGTTTGCGGGTTCTGAGACTCATCTGCCTCAGAATTCGGGATCTGTATTCTGCTTCGCATATTTGTTTCCTGGATCATTTCCTCGTTTTCGTATAAATTGAATCAGAAACACTGTACTTTTCAACTCTAAAATAAGTAAATAAATTTTCACTACTCTAAAGAAAAACAACTCATAGATTAGACATAAACCTGTTGAAGTCTGAAATATACTTGCTATGATATGCGACGAGGCTTTCATGTAAGTTATTTTTAAAATCTCTTTACCCTAAAGTAGATCTTCGTCCCTAGATAACACGTCAAGCGAAAACGTAGTCAGTTCGTGGCATGCTGACATACAATCTGCAGTCCAGCATCACACCGACCATAAGTCACAATTGTGGTCAAAAGAAATCCAGTTGGATGTTTGTGATAGATTTAGTCTTTCAACACTTTTTGATTTTTTGAATATGATCCGTAATTTGTCGTCCACTCACATAAAGAACCATCCTACGTCATCTGGCTCACCAGTGGACCACACTTACTTGAGTCTCCCTTCCAGTGTTTGTTTGGACAAAACTTCACTGACATTGCATTATCCTCTCAGTGATTATGGCTCTGTGCATGATATTCTACGTAAAAAAGGAGGTGGTTTGAGCGAAAAACTGGTATGCGCCATTGTAGGTCGGGTAGTATTGTGCCTTGATCAATTGCATAACAGTGGTTTACTTCATCGAGGTTTATGTTCGAAACATTTACTTTTTAAAAAAACGTTAGATCCTAACTCAAAGTCTCATAAAGTAAGTGTGGTCCTATGCGGCTTAGGAAGTATGGCTCAGCTACCACCGTCCTGGAGTACCGTGGCGCGAAACGATCTACCCTTCCTTTATGTTGCATGGCGTGGTTGGAGGTTGCATGAGTCGTCAGATGATGAATCATTTAGTCATCCAGTAGCATGGTACAGCCCGGAGTTATTGGCACAGGATTTTACTGGATACTCGTGGTCCTCAGATATATACAGTTTAGGTCTCATTTTGTACGAAATGTTCACTGGTCAACCGCCATATACAGGATGCCCCCCTTCTCTTATATTTCTGAAGAAAATGCTTCAGCTGGATTTCCCCCAACTTCACCATGTAAGTTCTTTTCTTCTAAATATATTGGTACTTTTTAGTTGAGGAAATTATGTTCCAAAGCATATGATTTAAAAAATAAAAACTGATAAATATGTATGATAATTAAAAGTATTTAAGACAGGTAAAGCTAGATAAACACAAATGAACGTATTGTATTCATGATTCGTAATCAGCGCGCAATCATGTACCAATTATTCGTCAATTACTACAAATTCCACAGTTTGTCGACTGGGATCTATCTCCACTGTTTTCCATCTGCAGAATCATATGAAATTGTATACGAATCCTACCTGTAAGTTGTCGAGTAATGAAATTACCCAAATATTGCCCCCATAAGCTGTTTATGCAAGATACTTACTTACTTACGCTTGTTACCCCTTGTGGAGGAGCATAGGCCGCTCACCAGCATTCTCCATCCAACTCTGTCCTGAGCCTTCCTTTCCAGTTCTTTCCAGTTGCTATTCATCCTTTTCATATCGGCTTCTATTTCCCGGCGTAGTGTGTTCTTTGGCCTTCCTCTTTTCTGCTTCCCTTCCGGATTCCAAGTTAGGGATTGAGTCGTGATGCACATTGGTGATTTCCTTAATGTATGTCCGATCCACTTCCAACGTCTTTTCCTAATTTCCTCTTCAGCTGGAAGCTGGTTTGTCCTCTCCCATAAAACGCTGTTGCTGATAGTATCCGGCCAGTGGATGTTGAGTATTTTGCGTAGACAACTGTTTGTAAATACTTGTACCTTCCTGATGATGGCCGTAGTAGTTCTCCACGTTTCAGCTCCATACAGTAGGACTGTCTTGACGTTCGTATTAAAGATTCTGACCTTGAAATTGGTTGAGAGTTGTTTTGAGTTCCATATGTTCTTCAATTGTAGAAATGCTGCCCTTGCTTTGCCAATCCTCGCCTTTACATCTGCATCCGATCCTCCTTGTTTATCAACGATGCTCCCCAGGTACTTGAATGTCTCCACCTCTTCCAGGATTTCGCCATCAAGTGTGATTGGGTTGGTATTCTCCATGTTGCATTTGAGAATCTTGCTTTTTCCTTTGTGAATGTGGAGACCTATTGATGCGGAGGCTGCTGCTACATTTGCTGTCTTCATCTGCATTCGGTCGTGTGTATGAGAGAGGAGGGCTAGGTCATCTGCGAAGTCCAAATCATCTAATTGATCCTGAGAAGTCCATTGTATTCCGTATTTCCCTTCAGATGTCGAATTCTTCATAATCCAGTCAATCACTAGAAGGAAGAGAAATGGGGAGAGTAGACAGCCTTGTCTGACTCCGGTCCTTACTGGAAATGCATCTGTCAGCTGTCCTCCATGCACCACTTTGCACTGTAGTTCATCGTATGAGTTTTGGATAATGTTGACAATCTTTTCAGGAACTCCATAGTGTCGAAGAAGTTTCCATAATGTTCTCCTGTCAAACGCCTTCTCATAGTCAATGAAGTTGACGTACAGTGATGAGTTCCACTCAACTGATTGTTCAACGATGATCCGTAGTGTCGCAATCTGGTCTGTGCACGACCTATCCTTACGGAATCCAGCTTGTTGATCCCTAAGTTCGGCGTCTACTGCGTCTTTCATCCGATTCAGCAGCACTGTTGAAAACTTTTCCTGGTACTGATAACAAACTGATGCCTGTGTAGTTCTCACATTGGCTCAGATCTCCTTTCTTTGGTATCTTGATGAGATATCCTTCTTTCCAGTCCGTTGGCACTTGTTCCTCTTCCCAAATCTTCTTGAATAGAAGGTGAAGCATACTTGCAGTTATTTCAATGTCTGACTTCAGTGCTTCTGCTGGTATATTGTCAGGTCCTGCCGCCTTCCCACTTTTGATTTGTCTGATGGCCATCTTGACTTCTTTGATCGTTGGTGGAGTGACATCTATTGGAAGGTCAGTGTGTGCTGCTTCGATGTTCGGTGGGTTCAATGGGGTTGGTCTATTCAGCAGTTCCTCGAAGTATTCTGCCCATCTTTTCCTCTGTTCTTGAATCTCAGTGATTGTCTTTCCTTCTTTGTTCTTGACTGGTCTCTCTGGTTTGCTATATCTCCCTGCCAATTTCTTCGTTGTATCATATAATATAGTTGTTTCATATTCCCTTCTTTTGCAGCTTTTTCCGCCGCCGTTGCTAGTTCTCCCATGTATTTCTGCTTGTCGGCTTTAATGCTTTTCTTCACTTCCCTGTTTGCTTCTGCGTAGTCTGCTTGTGCTTTGACTTTCTCTGCTCGTGTTCGGCTGTTGTTAATTGCTAGTTTCTTGTTCTTTCTTTCTTGAATTTTGTCCAGGGTTCCCATAGAGATCCATTCCTTGTGATGATGCTTCTTAGGACCAAGAACCTCCTGACACGTTGAAGTTAGTGCTTCATTTATCCGTTTCCAGTTGTCCTCCAAAGTAGTTTCTTGTTTTTTCAGTAGATCCTGTAGAGCTTGGAACCTGTTGTTGAGAGTTATCTTGAATTCATGGAGCTTGTCAGTATCTCGAAGAAAGGCTGTATTGAACCTTTGTAGTGCTGTTTGTCCAGTTGTTGAGTGTTTCTTTAGCTTCAGTCTCATCTTGGCCACAACCAGGTGGTGATCTGAAGCTATGTCAGCTCCTCTCCGGGTTCTCACATCTTCCATTGATCTTCGGAATTTTTTGTTGATACAGATGTGATCTATCTGGTTCTCTGTGGTTTGGTCCGGTGAGATCCATATAGCTTTGTGTATGCGTTTGTGTGGGAATATTGTGCCGCCTATAACCAATTTGTTGTATGCACATAGGTTTGCAAGTCTCTCCCCATTTTCATTTCTCTCTCCTAGTCCATGTCGTCCAATTATATCTTCATATCCTGTGTTGTCCACTCCAACTTTAGCATTTAGATCTCCCATCAGGATGGTGAGGTCCTTTCGTGAGCACTTTGCTATAATTGATTGCAGCCTTTCATAGAACTGATCTTTATCATCGTCGTAGCTATCATTGGTGGGTGCATAACATTGGATAACGTTCATTGTGATCCCTTGCTTCTTTGTTCTGAATGATGCTTCGATTATCCTGGGTCCATGAGATTCCCATCCCACAAGTGCATTTCGTGTTTCTTCGGATAGCATTGGAGCAACTCCCTGAGTATGTGGAGCATTTTCCCCTTCGTGACCGGAGTACAACAGCATCTCTCCTGTACCTAGCCTTTGTTGTCCAGTTTGTGTCCAATGGGTTTCGCTGATTCCGAGTACTGCCAAGTTGTATCTCCTTATTTTCATTGCTATTTGGCTGGTCTTTCCTGTCTCCCACATTGTCCGGACGTTCCATGTACCTATAAAGAGTGTTGCTCTGGTTGTTAGAAGGAGCATCGGTCTCGTGACTTCCGAAGAATTTCGGCTTTCATCATGAGACGTCATAATTGTTCCTTCAACTTGGAGGGCAGAGTTTAAATGGTTTGAATTATTTTTTCTGGTTAGCGTTTTTTTAGCGAGTTAGCTTTTCTACGGGATGGGTCGCTAACCCCATGCCCAACCCTCCTCCTTTACCCGGGCTATATTGTTTATGCAAGATGCTCTTGTAAAATTTATAATTCCACTTGATCATGTGTGAGGTTCTTTGTAAACAGTTATGTTAATAATTACTTTATTACTAGTTAGCTTGATTGTTTTTCCAACTCATTAATCTCTTTTTTACATTCCACACCGTATGAACTTGACCAATAAAAACGCGAACAATTTACTTCACGACTTATATGGTTCAGCTCTCTCACTTTCTATACGTGATCCAGGTTGGAAATGTTACATTGTTTTAGTTAACCCATCTTGTTTACGCAATTTCACCTCATTTCTCTGCTTTTTGTATATATTGTAGAACGAAATTAGCTTTAATCCATCAGCAACCATTTGATGCGATTAGTCACAGGGTGACTATAAGGTAGATAAAATAGTAAAATGGTAATTACAGGCACTTGTTATTGTAGTCCAATTTGATATAAAAATCTAAAAAAAACTGCATAAGCTTTACACTTGGGATAGTTCAAACACCTGAGAAGCTTGTTCTGATAGTCTTTATTACATTCTGTTTGTCGATCAGTGATGGAAACTATTGGACAAGTTATTGTCTGCCTTCCAATTCCGTACAAAATATATTTTGTTAAAATATAATGGTAATCTGATTATTTATTTATTTATTTAAACACATATATATTGGTACAAAAGGGCACCAGGTACATATGCGCCACACAAAATAATAAAAATAGGAAGAGAAGGGATGAAAAGATAAGAATTCATCATTTCATTTATTTGTGTGTGGGCTGTGATATTGCCCGGGTGCCCAAATCTGATTATGCTCTAACCGTCCATGTGATATTGAAATCATGAACTGATCTAAGTAAGATCACTACTAAAAACCTGCAAGCATTGAGCGATTTTTTCGCCCCAGCATGGGAATCTTTAACAGTGCATGTCCACGATCCCGCACTCGGGAACCCAACAAAGGACCTTCGGTCTCGCACGCAAACGACCACTGAACCGGCATCCAGAAGTAATAATGTCTAACCCAGATCAATGGACTTTATATCGCGACCATCTTCCATTGTCTTCGTCGAGTAACTGCCTCGCACTCGACACGGATCAGCTCCATTGGTCACGGCTCATTAGAATTACGGGAATTCCTTCCTGGAACTAGTCACTAGTGATTACATGATAATTTTCAGTATAGTATTGTGCATGAAACGGCCACTTAGTGCTTCCAGGTTTTCAATAGTAGTCTAATTTAGATCGGTTGATGATTTCAGCAAACTTCAACGATCTTCACAACCCATACGAAAAAGTGTGTATGACATCAGAGTGATATCTATCGAAAAGTTTAAATAGACAATCATCCCATTGTAAAGCTTATTTGGAAGCAAAACGTCTATCTCAAAGAAAGGAAAAATCAATATTGCTTTTATTCCTTGTGGAAATATTTTTGTTAAATTCCTGCTTAAAGTAACTAGCTTGACTTTTATTATTACTGGCTTTGTTGTATCGATAATCGATTCAG